CGCGAATTGGGGGTCTGTAGTGTCCACAATAGAAGAGTCGCAGTGTTGGCATGGAAGCTAAATTGGTCCCTTAGCGGTGACCGATTGGACTTTGAAGTTAACATTGAGTTTGCTATGTTTTCCATGATTGACACTTTGGCGGCGCGCAGGCGAATGCACCCGCAGGCTCCTCAACCGCTATAGTGGTTGTTTTCGCGCAGCTTTCTGGGTTTTGAATTTGCTCAGCTGGGTATTGATTTTGTTTTTGCGCTTGTTTCAATGTTTTCAGCGGCAGCCCTGCCCCGTGGCTGGAAAAACTTTGCGCGTTATTTTGTTTTCGCTCGCTGCCGCTAGTTTTGTTTTCGGCCCGAGCCCGCAAGGCCGCGCGCGCGCGCGCGCCATGGACTCCCTTTTTGATTAGTTTGATGGCCCTCGTAAGCACGCGGCCGTGTGGTGTTTGCTGACCAGAAGACGCATGATGTCGGATTGAACGAATTGGTTGCAGCACTGGCCCGAATATTTGATTCCTCGTCTGGGCCGATGGCCTGAATGTTTTGTTTTTTGTCGCTGGCCCGCCCAGTTTTCGATTTTACCCAGTCTCCGATCATTGTGTTCATTTTGATTTCAGCCTTCATTGATTTCGGCTTCCTGGTATATGATAGCCAGACCGTGTAAGGGTAGACCACCCCTGGGTTTTCCGAGGCACTGTACGAGGAAGTACCTTATCCAGGGGAAGGGCCCGTCAGGCGATAAGGTAGGAAATGGGTCTCACAAGCCTGTGCTTATCACCTCGCGTAGCTGATTTTCGGACTTAGCGTTTATGATGCTAGTGTTTCTGGCTTGGTGCCTCGTTCTCGGAGCCCCTCGTCGTCATCGGAACCCTCGGAACCCTCTTCCTCCCCCTCCTCCTCCTCCTTGCCTCTTCCTCCTCCTCCCTCTCGTCCTACCCTCCTCCCTCCTCCTCCTCCTCCTCCTCTCCGCCTCCTCCTCCCCTTCCTCCTCCTCCTCCTCCTCTCCTCCTCCTTCCTTCCTCCTCCTCCTCCTCCTCCTCCTCATCCGCCCTCCTCCTCCTCCTCCTTCTCCTCCTCCTCCTCCTCCTCCTCCTCCTCCTCCTCTCTCCCCCCTCCTCCTGCCTCCTCCCACCGACTGTACTCCGCATCCTCTCATCATCATCATCATCATCTATCATCATCATCGACATCATCCGCCTCCTCCTCCTGCCTCCTCGTCCCGCATCGCTTCTTCTGGGCCCCGCCTCCTTCCTCCGCCCGCCTCCTCATCTCATCACCACCATCATCAATCCTCCTCTTTCCTCATGCTCGTCATTTTTCCTCCTCCTCTTCCTCGTCATCCTCGCCTCCCGTCGCCCCTCCGCCTCTCATTTCTTCCGTTATTCCTCTTCCTCCTCCTCCTCCTCCTCCTCCGCCTTCTCGCGCCTGCTTCCTCTCTTCCTCGTCCTTCCTTCTCTTCCTCCCGCTCCTCCTCCCCCCTCGTCCTCCCTCCTCCTCCTCCGCCTCCATCCTTCTCCTCCTCCTTCTCCTCCTCTTACTTCCTTACCCTTCCCCCTCCTCCTCCTCCTCCTCCTCCTCCTCCTCCTCCTCCTCCTCTTCCTCTTTCCTCCTCCTCCTCCTCCTCCTCCTCCTCATCATCACCATCATCAGCTCAGCATCATATCGTTCGTCGTCGTCATCATCATCAGCAATCATCCTTCTCCTCCGCGGCCTTTTTCGGGGGTCGGGGTCGTCCTCCTTCTCCCACCTCCCCTCCCCCCTCCTCCTCCTCCGCTCCTCATCATCATCATCCCTCCGCCTTCTCCTCCTCCTCCTCCTCCTCCTCCTCCTCCGCATCCTCTTCAGCATCATAATCAACAGCAACATCAGCAGCTGCAGCATCAGTATCAACATCAGCATCAGCATCAGCATCAGCATCAGCATCAACCTCATCATCATCACCAGCATCAGCATCATCATCAACATCATACGCATCATCAGCAGCATCAGCAGCATCAGCATCAGCATCATCATCAGCAGCAGCATCATCCTCCTCCTCCTCCTCATCATCATCATCATCATCATCCTCACCATCACCAGCACCGTCATCACCATCGCCATCATCATCCTCATCATCATCCTCATCCTCATCCTCATTACTTATCATATTCATCCTCATCGTCATCTTCATCCTCATCCGCATCATTCCTCCTCCTCCTCCTCTTCCTCCTCGCTGCTCGTTCCTCGCTCCTCCCTCCTCCCTCCTCCTCCTCCTCCTGCTCCTCCTCCTCCCCCTCCTCCCCCTCCCCCTGCTCCACTCGTCCTCCTCCTCCTCCTCCTCCTCCTCCTGCTCCTGCTCCTGCTCCTGCTCCTGCTCCTCCTCGCTCTTCCTCGCTCCTCCCTCCTCCCTCCTCCTCCTCTTCCTCCTCCCTCCTTCTCCTTCGCCGCCTTCTCCTTCTTCTCCTTTCTCTTCCTTCTCCTCCTCCTCCTCCTCCTCCTCCTCGCTCCCTCCCCCCTCCCCTCACCTCAAGGTGGGGCACTTCTGCGCGGCCGCGCAGGAGGTGTTCCAGCGCTACGGGGGGGACCTTCGAAGTGGAAAAGGCAGCCAGACTCCGCGAGCACGCGGTTGTTTCCCCCCAAAAGCCTGCCACCCCCTTCACCCTCCCCTTCCCTCCCTTCCTTCCTCGTCCCCCCATACCTCTTCCCTCCTCCCTGCCTCTTGCCCTCCCCCCCACCCCGATCCCTCCTCCCTCCTCCCACTCCCCCTCCTCCCTCCTCTCGCCTCTCTCCTTCCTCTCGCCCTACCGCTACCCTGCCCTCGTTTTCCCCTTCCTGGGCCCCCTGGGAGGCCCTAGTCGCCACCGCTGCATTCGTCTCGCTCTCCTGGCCAGAACGCACCCCGTGGAGAGGTCTGGGGAGTAGCGGCATCGGTACTTTTGGTGGTCCCCAAACGTGGTGGTGAGAACACCCGGTGGTGACTTTTGGGCGATTTGGGTAATGGTTTTCGAGCGCTGGCTGGCCCAGGAAGCGCAAAACCTCGTGGCGACCGCGTGTCCCCAAACCCGGTGGTGACCCAGAATTGTTTTTTGGGGGAATCGTGGTCACCACCGGGTGTCTCACCACCTGGTTTGGAGACCACCAATACTTGTTGATTTCCCCAGGACTTGCAGTTGGCCTTCAACTCCGTGCTCGGGGTCCTGCTGCCGAGCACGGTCTGCGACAGCCTCTTCCTGGCCTTCACGGGCGCGGGCACCGGCGGCGCCCTGCGGCAGCCCTGGGCCAAGCACGCCACTCTGCACAGGCTCGGGCAGGGGGAACCGCCATGGACACAGAGGTTCTCGATGCTCGTTTCGGGGACCTTCCTGGAGCCCACCTAACGGATCTGTTCGACCCCAGTTCGACTCAAAGTTCGACTCAAGTTCGACTCAAGTTCGACTCAGGTTCGACTCAGGTTCGACTCAGCGTCGACCCAAATCGACTGACGTTCGGCGCAGCTTCGACGCACGAGTGGAGCGAGTGGCTCCAGGAAGGTACCCCGAACGAGCATCCAAGAGGTTCGTGGCTCCGCGCGGCCTTCTGCGATCGGCCTCCCCGGGTCGCCCTGCCCAGCGGCGCGAGAAGCATCGCGCTGCGCGCACCGCGGCTTGGGTGGGAGAGCTGCCCCCCTCTCCAGAGGGGCGGCGCGAGGGCGCGGACGTGGCCGCGCGTCGCGCCTCGCGGGGCGCCCTGCGCGAAGTTGGGCGACCTGGGGAACGGCCAGCGTACAGCCAACCCGCGTGACAGGGATGGCCTACCTTCCCAAGGGTACCCTTGCATTCTTGCCCCGTCGGCCCATCCTCGGCGCCTCTTGCTGGCCGCGCCCCGCTCGAGCAGCTTCGAAACGGGCGTCCAAGGCCCTTGCGTCCTTATCGCGCATCCTTCTGATGCGGGCCGCCCGTAGACATACAGTCGGGGCGCTGAAGAAGGAACCCTTTTCGTTGGGGAGGGGCTCGGTGCTCCTTGATTGTTTCAAAGTTTGCCTTGGGTTTTCCTGAGGTTTTCCAGGGGGAATCGAGGTTGAACCTCTGGGAAGCAGGGGCCTGGTTCCTTATTTTTGGGTTCCTTTCGCATCCCAGGGGAAATCAAAACTTAACTTATGGGAGCAAGGGGCCTCGTTCCTTCCTTAGGGTTCCTTACGGCCGACGCCCCGACTGTACACGGTCGCGGCTCTCCGCGCGGGCTGCGCGGATCGGCGCCGGACCCTTCTCCCGGGCGCGCTCAGAGGAGCGCGCCGGCGGCGGCGCCGCAAGGGGGAGGGGGGGGGGTGGAGCAGTGCCGGTCCGAGAGATCCGTGCAGAGGGAAACGATCAGTGAACACCGAGATAAAAATACAAGCTTCCAAAGATTATTGTTCGTTTTTACCTAACAGCGAAGACTGATAGGTTTCTAGTTGACTCACAAGAGCTCACAGATCACTCCACAGGGGGGTCCGGGCAGGTGTTGGGGAGTTGCCGGGCGGCAGGGTGCCGGGCTCGTTTTTCACCAACAGTCACACACTTCGTGCTCTTTGACTTCCCAGAACTCCATTCCCAGGCCACATTCTGAATACCCGGATGCAACAGTCACACACTTCGTGCTCTTCGACATCCCAGAACGCCATTCCCGGGCCACATTCTGGAGGGCCGGATGCAACAGTCACACACTTCGTGCTCTTCGAGTTCCCAAAACTCCATTCCCGGGCCACATTTTGGATGCCCGGAGCCAACTGTAGGCCACTTCGTGTTCTTCGACTTCCCAGAACTCCATTCCCGGGCCACATTTTGGATGCCCCGAGCCAACTGTAGGCCACTTCGTGATCTTCGAGTTCCCAGAATTCTATTCCTGGGCATGATTTTGAATGCCCGGAGCCAACTGTAGGCCACTTCGTGTTCTTCGAGTTCCCAGAACTACATTCCCGGGCCACATTTTGATGCCCGTACCAACTGTAAGGCAACTTCGTGCTCTTGTCGACTTCCAGAAAAAATCCCATTTCCTGGGCCACATTTTCAGCAGGGCAGAGCCATACACGAGGAATGGAGGACCGAGCAGACCAGGAGGACGAGACGAGCAGGAGCAGACTAGGAAGCAGGAGGAGCAGGAAAAGAAGGACGAGCAGGAGGAGGAGGAGGACGAGCAGGAGGAGGAGGACGACCAGGAGGAGGAGGACGACCAGGAAGAGGAGGAGGAGGAGGAGGGGAGGGGGAGGAGTACCAGGAGGAGGAGGAGGAGGAGGAGGAGGAGGAGGAAGAGGAGGAGGAGGAGGAGGAGGACGAGGACGAGGAGGAGGAGGAGGAGGGGGGGGGAGAGTACCAGGAGGAGGAGAACGAGGACCACCAGGAGGAGGAGGAG